GGCTTACTAACTAAAGCATATCTCTGCCTCTCCCTCAGGAATGCCTTCTAAGAAGGCTCTAATAAAAATGCCGGGAATTACCAAAAGGGAATATAGCTACGTTACAGGTAAGGTAACTTATTCCATTTACTACTAGTTAAATGAATAAAGATAATAACCAACTAATACTATTTAAGTAATAATAATCATAAAAGTCCTTATATATATATAAATATACGCGACACCAATACTTAATACTTATAACATGTAAAAAGGTACCCGAGTCGCCCTCCAATAGACAATATAGCAGTAGTAATAATAATAGTAATAGTAATAGTAATAAACCTAAAAACTAGAACTAATTTACAAAGCCAGATTATAAAATTTTTAAGAATCTGTACAACAATAGTTATTTTATTCCGATATTTCGGAGTCCATATGGCCCGTTATTTGTTTCCGATTCGCTGCCTGTCTCTGTCTTTCCGCCGCCTCTTTACAGGTTAATACCTTTGTACAGAAGACAGAGAAGGCCCTCCACTTATCGATACTATCTAAGATGGATTCTATAACAGACGGGAGGTCTAATTGGTCCCCGATAACCCGCGTCAATTCTGTTCTATCGGCGCTCCAAGCGCTGCAGAACTGGAGGGTGTGCTGAGCAGTATCCACAGCGTCGAGACAGTGATAACAGATTGCGGAGTCTGCTTTCCTAATTTTATGCAAGAATTCGTTAAAGCACCCGTGGTTTGTTAAAAATTGGGTCATATGATAGGTGACCCATCCATGTCTTCTATTAACCCACTCTTTCAGCCTATCAACCAGGGCTTCACGGAGCCTGAAGCTGGGGTGGGTATGATTTAATTTCATCAGGCTCTCCCTCCAGTCCGACAGCACCTGTTGCTTCGCCTCCCGGTACCACTTTGCCCTGGTACCGGGAGAAATCTCCTCATCAACCTCAATAGCGTTTCTGGTTCTAAAATAGACAATCGCCAGTCTACGCGCTTGAAACTCAACCGGTGGAGTTCCGGATATTAAGGACGCCGCCACGAAGGATACCGTGCGGTACGCACAGCACACTCTTTGCGCGATTCTTCTCAATATCCCCTGCATTAAGGTCCTCGCCCTCCGGTTCTCCCCCAGTGAGACCGATCACACCGGTGCGCCGTATAGCAACATTGAGAGAACTACATTTAAATATAGCTTTCTCACTTTCTCATTGGGGCCTCTACAGTTGGGCATGATTCCCCTAAGGTAACCCACCGTTTTGTTTACTTTAATGTGAAGCTTTTCAAAGTGTTGTGTGAAGTTCCAGTCACCATCTAATAAGATTCCAAGATATTTCAAAGTAGGAGCAATGATCATCTCCTTGTTTTTAATAATTAATTTATAGGAACCATGCCCAACTGTAGAGGCCAAAAAAGCCGTAACCTACGTCTTATGCGGTGAGATTTTAAAGCCAAGCTTTTCTATTTTCCTTATAACCATGCCTGACGCAACCATCGCGAGGTGGGATGCCGCCTCGAAGTTCTTCTCCGAAACGATCAAAATCGTATCATCCGCGTACCCCAGAATATAACAATCGGCCGGAAGGTCCATACTGAGCACACTGTTGTACCCTATATTTCACAGGATTGGTCCAAGGACCGAACCCTGTGGAACACCGCGGTACACCCCCCGCTTACGCGCGATACCCTCGGAGTCAGTGTAAACCAAAAATCTATCTGATAAGTAATCAGAAATAACCCTACGGAGATAACTCGGGAACTCCATGGAGGCCATGGCCGAGCGAATAACACCCCACGGTAGTGTGTTAAATGCATTCTTTATGTCAAAAGATATCGCGATGACAACATTACCCGCCTCGGTCTCCTCGTGAACTGTTTGTTTAAGTCTAAGGATTGCATCCAAGGTCGAACTCCCCTCCCTGAAACCAAATTGGTTGTCAGACAGGAAACCGGTCGACCTCAGGTAATCCCCCAATCTAGAGGCGATAACTCTTTCATACAGCTTGGAAGACTCGTCCAATAGGCAAATTGGCCTGTAAATTCCAGGATCTGTGGACATTCCTCCTTTTTTCTTAATAAGAACTAATTTGGCGGTCTTCCAAGCTGTAGGAAAGACGCCTTCCTTGAGACACGCGTTAAAACAGGCTCGCCAGACCTCCATGAAGCTCCCCGCGCTACCCGCGATGATGCCCCCAAGGGCTCCATCCGGCCCGGGAGCCTTTCCATTACCGCGCAATTTTTTAAGAGCCCGCGATAGTTCCGCCAAGCTGACGCAATAATCATCTAACCAGACAAAGCGTGGAAGAGAGTCGGTAGGTGTATGTTCACTGTCATCCGGGAAAAGAGCACTTACAATGTTTTCTACCTCAGAGTGAGAGAGTCTCACACACCGGATGTGCTACAGGCTTTAACTTTTTCATAATTACTTTATAAGGAAGACTCCACGGGTTGTTATTTATGTCATTCAAAAGTTTGTTCCACGCTCCGTTTTTGGCTCTAATAATATTTAGTTTATAAGCCCGCAGACATACTCCATATTTCCTATATTCTATGTTTGTTAGCGTATGGTTTCCCTTCTTTCTCGCTCGAGAGAGACCTCTTCGCGCCCGCATAACTGCACGACGAGAGGTCGCCACCTCTTCGTTCCACCAATAAGCAGACTCTCTATGGAAGCCTTTGCTTTGCGGCATAGAGAGATCTGAAATGCTCTTAAGAGAGTCACCTAGCCATTCCACCAATAAGCGTGCGGAAGCCATATTAGTGAGATCCAGCGACCATGACATGCCAATAGAACCGGCCATTAACAGATCTGAATTTAGTTTATAATAATTCCATTTAACGAATTTTTTATTAATAGTTTTGAATGTCTCTTTCGCCTTACCCGAGCCAATCTCCAAACGAAGCAGTCTATGGTCGGACAGGGTGACCACCTTAATTTCTATGGTACAACTTTTGATAAGTTTTTTTGCCTGAAGGTTGGCAAAGGCTAAATCTATGACAGATTTGCCTTGCCATCTGTCACATGTGTAAATAAAATCTTTATTTATTAAAAACAGATTAGCTTCCTCTATCCAATTTCTAAGATGATAACCGCGCAGATCTGACTGTTTTGGGTCCCAATCAGAATGTCTGGCATTAAAATCTCCGATAACTAGTGTCGGGCAATGTTTATATTTGTTAACTATAAGAGATAGATTGTTTAAAAACCCGTTAAATTCATAGATAGTAATATTGCGAGAGAAGTAACAACTGAAAATAATTAATTTATTCCAGCTCGCCACACAAAACCCGTATCCGCGTTCCAGCGGCCTGACTGGAAGAAACAAGCCGGGAACTCTACGCCATACGATAGCGGAAAGAGGCTCATCCGTCGATTGCATCCACCTGTCATCATCCTTCGGAATCGAGTGTGGTTCCGAAATAATTGCGGCGCCAGCATTATATTCATACATTAGAAGGCACAGGTTATCCTGTGCCGTTTTCGAGTGATTTACATTACAAATAAGTATATTTACCGTATTTGCTTTATTTACCATAATATTACTATTTTTCTATTTCCATTTCAAAAGCAGAAGGCTCCGCTGCATCCTGAGGTCTCCGTCCCTCGTTGATTAATACAGGTAAGGTATTGTTATTGTTAGATAAACCAACAGTGTCATTATCTTTATTTACAACAGACTTATTCTCTATTATTTTCCCAGGGGGTATGGGTTTACACATCACGGTGCCAGCCAGGTAATCCGACCTTAGGCCCCTGTCAGTGCAGACTGGGCATTTGACCCTGTTTTTGCAAGCAGAGGATTTGTGGTTCATGTCTCCACATCTGTAGCAACAGGCTCTCCTGTCTTTTCCCTCTGGGCATCTCTGCAGCGTATGACCAACCGCAAGGCACTTAAAACACTGGAGGGGCCTCGGATCGACCGGTTCCACCCTTACCGTCGTTCAACCTATGCTAATCCTCGCAGCCTCCAGGATGCTCACGGCAGCCGCGATCGGGCATCTCACATATGCCACACCAAGACCCCCGCGAACAAATCTTATCGGGCTACATGATATATTATCCGGAGAACATTTACCAATTTCCGCGATTATTTTATTTATTTTACTAGTTGTTATTGAGTCATTGAGACCAACGAGTTTTACTTGTGAATTTTTTGATGGTTTTCTAATTTTAACTCCGTTTATATTATTAAAAACTTTTTGCAGGCAGGTTAAAAGTAACTCCGCTTTCAGATCCGAATCTTCTCTCGGAATTTCAATGATAATACCACCCGTGATCGATCTTTTAATCTTTGTGTCTCTAATATTCATGTCCGACAAGGAGATTTTTTTCCGTGCCAATCTCATTATTTCCGCATATGTAATATCGGCACCATCAATCAAAATAGAAATCGCAGACGTGCGCGGCACCTTCTTCTTGAGATTGTCGACCTTATCTTTAAAACTCCTATTATCAAGTTTTTTCCTATTATTATTATTCAAATTAATACGGTTATTATGCCTATCAATAGTAGTATTTTTGTTATTCATATTTTTTTTATATCCCCAGCAGTATATTTATCATTGATAGTCTCGTATTCCGGATTAGTATCAGATTGGGTACTGTCTTTGATAGGGGTGGATTTCAAACTAGCTTTTTTTCTCTTTCGAACACTCTTTCTATTACGGGGGACAGACCATTCGATCTCCCCGTCATCCACAGTAACAAAGTTCTCCAAAATGTCCTCGTCGCTCATACTAACAATGTCCACTCTTTTAGTTATATTATCGTTATTAGTATTAGACACAGTCATAGTTTTTCTATGTTTCTTTACCGAGTTATTTTTGGTATCTGCCGAAATCACTACGTTTCGACTTATATTATTTTTCACACTCTGGACATTTTTAGGTTTAGCAGAACTGCCAGACGGCACTTTGGAGCCCAAAGATTCAGCATAGCTTTTCCCTTCTCTCGGGTGAGAGATTGGCTTATTAAGAAACCTAATCTAACCTAACCTTGCAACCGACTACTGGTCTCGTCCTAACCGCGAGATCATCAACCGGTCGCGAGCCGGAAAGCAGCAGCGGGACCAGGGACAACCGGAGCGGGACCTAGGGACATCGCTGAGACGAGGGAAAGCCGGAAACCACCGGTCAGAGCAAAGCACCTCGTCAAGATAACAAATAAACTGGCATGAGTTAGAATACTCAAAATTTATTTATTTTAGTCATTTAGACGTATCCGTAGAATCGGAGAATATTATTTTTTATTTAAAGTTAAAGCCAGTCGATTAGAGTTACCGCTACGCCCGATAATGATAAAGGCGTAGAATTAAATTTTAAAGTTACATTTACATTTAGGAATAGTATTTAAGTGTAAATATAATATTGGTTTGTGTTAGAATGTAAGTTATAACAATATTACAATTTATTTAGTTTTCCGCTTAATTGATAAACGCGTGATAAGCGTCTTGAAGAACAAGACGCTAAGTTTAAGTTATGTAATCATTACGCTCGGAATTGACTCGTAAACCCATTTGGTCATATTAGTTAGAAAGAAAAGGCGAGTCATGAGATTATAATATTATTTAATTAATTTCATTTTATATCCGGGGCTACAGGCGAAATCTTTTATTTTTTTAAACACGGGTAAATATACTCAAGCGGCCTGTAGCATTTTATATTCCTTATTAGGAATCAAAAGGACGATAGCGCAGACAGCGGTAAAAGCTATCAAAGAAAATAAAAACAGTCGATCAATAGTTAACCGAGCACCGCTAAACTTTTACCGCTAAGATTGAATGGGCTATTGTGCTTTTGATGGCTCAATGCCGCCGCCGGCGCAAACAACTCGCGCCTTTGTCGAGTGACCTTTACACCGATTGGCGGAAATCTAGATACCAGAGATCTGGAACCGGATTGGCGAGCGTCGCTAAGGAAGGGGAAAGTGGTAGCCGGACGGTTTAAGAAGAGAGGTTTGAGCCAAGAGGAGTTAGTTGTGAGTTAGTTGTGAGTTAGTCGGAATCAGTCGATGTTAATCGAAGCAAAAGTCCGGAGGGTCGTCGATCGAAGCTCTCCGTGACGATGTATCCGTTAAAACCAAGGTGTTTCGGCGAGTAGTGTGCC